TTCACGTATTTCAAGTTTTACATGATCAGTATTTAGCCTTGTTTGAAAAATATGTATCAAATTTGTATAGGTCAATGCTAATAGAAATATACTGACATTATGAAATTTATGAAGTTAGACGACCTATAATATAAATATAATAATTATATTTTACAATAGCGAAAATACAATAGTATTTACTTACATATAAATGAACTTGGTTGGCATATGGCGGCATAGTAGTTTGTGGCATAGTAGTGCCATTTGTGTAAAGGAAGCGTTGTTGACCAGCTGTGTAGGTATTTGGATCAAAAACTGGTTGTGGCGGAGGAGTTCTATAACCATTTTTTATACCACCCACCCCAGTAACTGCTGGTATTGGTAGCCTATTCATTGGTTTAGCTTTGATTCTTGCCATTATTGGCTTTCCCTGAATTATAAATAATAACTTACTAACATTATATATTAACATAAACGAACTACTGATATAACTTGCATATCACATGAATCATTTAATTTGTGTATATTGTACTATATATCTGACAATTGTTCTATTATGATCAATGAATAATTAATTAGTCTGATATATAAAGAAAGAACGATAAAAATTAACGATACAATGATGTTTTTAACATTCATTAGTATAGACTCTTATACTTCAGAAGTATAGACTCAATCTATGTATAAAATTTATACATAAACCCTTTGATTGTATAAAGCGTCTGTAAATAATCATTGAAAGGTGAAAGGCCTCTTGATATAAATAGTGCAAGGCAAGATACTCATATAGATTGAACAAAATAATATTGAAATGTTTAGTCTATCTGCAATCTTTCATCTGTAATCCTCGTATGCTTCTTGCTCAGTACGTTTTATGATATAACAGTAAAAGGATTAAAAGGAAAACATATTTGATGATAATATCATATTACCTGAAACTCCCGAACTTCTTCACGTAAAAACCTATAGGCCTTCTGAGCATCTTCATCGGATTCGAACGTTACATACCAAGAACTATTGTGGGCAAATTCACATGAAATAAACCTTGGACACCCTTCTCCAGAGAACAGATTCTGCAAATTGAAATAAAATTTTACTAATCTCTATCGTACGAGGATAAAGACGATATTCCAGTAATCATGATAACAATGATATGATAGTAATGACGTATAACGATGATAGTAATGAAGTATAACGTATAATATATTTTTCACCTTCACATCTTCCAGTGGAGTACTATCTGGTACTTCACGTAGAATTACAATACATCGTTTATGATTAGGTCTTACTTTTTGTCCTTCCACATCAACTTGTACATTAGGAGACTCTCTTAAAACCTCCGTTATGAGTTTTATATCCTTCGTTAATTTCTTCACTTGGTTAAAATTTGCTACTGTCCATATTGGTACATATTGATCATTATCCATTTGT